ATATATATATATATATAATATTTAGTTTGTGAAAAAGTGAATTATTTTCTTATAACAAAATAAAATTAGTAAGCTTCATCTTGAAAGACAGTATTAACAATATAAAAAGCATTCAATTATATTATATTAGAATAGAATATTCTATATCATCTTAAATGATCTCTTATATAACTTATTATTCTTTAAAATTTTAACTTGTCTTCTATTAACTTAAATTTTTTATAATTATACAAATTTATTATTAAAATCACATTTAAGTTGTACTTATATATTTTTTGTATTTATTGTCAAAAAAAGGATTATGTTGTGTATTCCATATATAATTTTGAGCATTTTTTACGCAATTAAGAACCAAAAGGAAAGAGCGCATCATTGGCTTGCGGTCAGTGGTGGATACATAATTTTCTTTTAGTGAAAAAAAAATATATACTCCGTCAATATTTCTGTGCTCTTTTTTACATTTTAAAACCTTTTAAGAAAATTACTTAAATTTGAATTTATTTTATAAGACCCTTTGGGTGAATAAATTAATTTTTTTTATAAATAGTTAAAACAATTGACAATAATTTCTATTACTATTTCAAAATTATTTTTATTATATTTACAATTAAATGATATTCGAGTATATTTAAGTATTTATATTCACAAATAAAATAGTGAGTCATTTTAAATATTTTTGTTTCAATTATAACTGTTACATATTTATTTAAATATGTCAAATAAGTATATAATTATGGTATTAAAGAATGTTAAATAAGTATTAATTGAATGTGTCCAAATAAGTTTGATTTCAAGAACACATAATAGTCATATATGACAAAATAGTCAGTCTTATGAATATGTGACAATTAGACATGTCAAAAATAGGTATAGATTCATCTATGTGTGTCATTTCATTTACATGTGTTATTTATGTGTATGATAATATTATTAATATGTGATAGTTTGATATGGTAAAATAGTCATGATCTCATGAAAAAATGTTAGTTTGATTCACAAATGTGTTAAAATTGACATGATTTTAAAATGTTAAATGAGTTTCTTAAACGTGTCAAATAAATATGGTCTTAGGATACTAAACAGGCACAGATGTGTCAAAATAAGTATGACATTCATAGGTATGAACTCACCATATTAGATACACATTAATTAGATGTGTAAAAATTGGTATGGTCTTAAAACATTTAATACATGTTAATAAAATGTGAAAAATAAGTATGATCTAAGATATTAAATATATGTTTGTTAGATGTGTTAAAATTGATATAGTTTTGTAACAATGCATATTAGCTCGTTAGACATAATAAAAAAGTATTATCTCAAGATGTTTCACACGTGTCAATTATGTATCATATTATCTATATACACATGATAATTAAGCATGATAAAATAAGTGATTTAATGAATGTGTACTGTTAATTAAATTTAAGAAAACATATATGTTAACTAAATGTGTCAAAATTGTCTCATAATGTTGAATATTGTTATGGACATGAAAAATAAAAATGCCTCACCACATTGTATAAATATTACTTAAATGAGTCAAAATAAATATGATAATATTGCTAACAAAGTATCTCTTATCTCACTCTGTTGTATATATGTTAGTTAGATATGACAAAACAATATCCAACCTTAATTAGAATACTAAATATATGCCAATTAAATTTAGCAAAATAATACAATTTCAAGATATTGAATAAGTGTCACTTAAAAATTATAAAACGATACCATAATCACATGTTTTGAATACAAATATGTCAATTCTTTGGCTATAAATCCAACACTTTACGAAAAATCAAAACATATTGATGTGATTTTTTTTTCACATGGTATAAGTAATTGCTATTTTTTATTACTCTATTCTTTTTATGATTTGTTGCTTTTTCAATAAAAGTTAATTTTTAAGTTAATTTTTTGTTAATTTTTAATTTCAAGATGTGTTATAATTTTTCTTGTCTATTATATATATATATATATATATATATATTTATCATATGTTGAAAATTACTTAAACATTAAATAATGAGGAAAAAACTGAAAAAAAAATTAAAAATATATTAAAAATAAAAAATATCATTTTTCTTAATTTTGGAGAGAAAAACCTGATCCGGACTTGTACTTAGATGCAATGCTCTTCGCTTCGCACATGCAGTGATTATCTCAAGTTATCTCTCTATATGTATAACATTTAGTTTATGAAAAAGTGAATTATTTTCTTATAACAAAATGAAATTAGTAAGCTTCATCTTGAAAGACAGTATTAAAAATATAAAAAACATTCAAATACATTATCTTAGAATATTCTATACCATCTTAAATAATCTCTTAAATTCATTATTCTTAAAATTTTAACTTGTTTTCTTTTAACTTAAAATTTTTATAATTATACAAATTTATTATTAAAATCACATTTTTAATTTATACTTATCATGTATTTTTGTATTTATTGTCGGATTACGTAAACTGGATTAGGTTGTGTAGTCCATATATAATTTTGAACATTGACCTAATTAAAAACCAAAAGGAAATAACACATCGGCTTTCGCCCGGGGATAAATAATTTCTTTTAGTAAAAAAAAAAGTAAGCCGTCAATATTTATGTGATCTTTTAAACATATTAAAATCTTTTAAGAAAATTGCTTAATTTTGTATTTCTTTAATAAGACCTGTAAATAAATAAATTATTTTTATTATATTTAGAATTAAATTAGATAAGTGATATTTGAGTATATTTAAGTGCTTATATACTCAAATTGGCCAACTGAGAAACTTTATATTCATTTAAGATATTTTTGTTCTAATAACCGTCACGTTTTTTTTTTAAATTCTGTTTGATTTAACTAATACTTTTAAGGTTAAAGAGAATATGTGTTTATATCCTTATCTTTCACTTAATATACAAAATTTTATTAATGTTTATTGAAATTAAATAATGATTGTGTTTAGTGGTTTAAAAAAGGGTTAAATATGTTTTTAGTCCCTAAACTATTGGCCGTTTCTGGTTTTCCTCCATGTTTCAAAGTAAGGTACAATTTGTTCCTCATTCTTTTCGAAACGTTAGTTTTAGTCCTCGAAAACTAAACATTGTTTAAAAATTTAGTCCTCATTTAGCAACAAATGAGGACTAAAACCAAAATTCCGAGGACTAAAACGAACGTTTAGAAAAGAACGAGGACCAAATTGTACCTTACTTTACTTTGAAAGAGGGAGGAAAATCAGAAACGACCAATAGTTAAGGGACTTAAAAACATATTTAACCCTTAAAAAAAAAAAGCCTTAAACTACACTTTTAAAAGAAACACGACACGTTATTTATTAATATCATTTAGACTTAATTATGTTTTTAGTTTCAGATAAATTTTAGAACTTCCAATTAAATTTTTATTAAACTTTTGTATTATAAAATTTTAAAACTTTAAGTCAATACAGTTAGATTTTACTATTAATTATATTATAATCATATAATACTTTGTTTGTTATAAGAGATTACAGTTTAAAACGGATTCAGTGAAGCTACTTCCTATTAGTTTATCTAAAAGAAGACTTCTTAAGTCACATAAATTATTTTCCTTTAGTTTATATTTTTTTATCATAAAAATTTTCATGACAAAGTTAGCTACTCTACAAACCCTTACTCTAATATTGGCACTAAATCCTAATCAAATATGATGCTCATTTCAGCAAAAAAAAAATAAGAACACTCCCAAGTTTTCCGCTATTATGAATTAACATAGTTCCACACAAAGAAAGAAAAATACAGGAAAGTAAAGTCCTATTGTAATTATTATGGAGTATCTTGGTCACAAACACTTCCAAGTTACATTCATTGGTAGAGAGGTAAGAGTTTATTCTGTCTTATGCTCTGGCATCATGAGATTGCCTTTCATGGCAGACTTGTTTGGACAGATCAGGTTGAGGGCCCAATCTACGAATTGAGGATGAAGCACCTTCCAAGGAAACAAGACTTTGTACCAAGAAGGATCTGTAACATACATATCTCCCCTGCATGCACTTTCAACTATGGCTTTAGCACATTCACTAGCTGACCCCATTGGAACTATTCCCAAAACACCCTGAATTGCAAAAAAAATTGTTCAAATCTTTCAACCGCCATAACTGGAACTCAGTAGACAATGTGCATTTTGGAATATAAATTGTTGTTATAATTTATCTACATTAACTTAATGATCTATTACATATTCAAACTTTAATACCTTCTTTGGTTGTAAGGATGAGTGATATGAAAATGATCATATTAAAACTGAGTTCATTGAAAAAATATACAGGAAATAAATGTAAACCTTTAATTCAAATTTGGCCTTTAATGTAAGGTCTGTCTTGATAAAACCGGGCGTGGCAATTGTTATGCCGAATGCAGTTCCAGCTTCCATTCTCAGAGTCTCAAAGAAGTTTGTTATCGCTGCTTTGCTCGCCTGCACTTACCATTCAAACCATCACAATTAGTAACAGTTTAATTCAATTCAGTTTTATCTTCAACAACATAACTTCCAAAAATAGATTTTCCTTAGTTTCAAACTATTTCAAAAAGATGTTTTCACAATTCTAAAATGAATATCCAGAGTTTATACATTACATTATAGATACTTATCAGTGGTAGTGGGAACCATCCGCAAACTGAAGCAATCACTATGATCCTTCCTTTGCTATTTTTCAGATGTGGGATTGCAAATAATGTCCCATTAACTGCTCCCCAAAAATTCACATCCTGCCAATTATAACACAAACTTACTTTTAAAACTACTTTTTGTTTTACAGATTCTAATGCAGTTCAGCTTATTCACTGAATCATCCTAACAAATAATCTAACCAATTTTTATATATCACATGATAAACAATTTTTGTAATAATATTTTTTAAATTACACTATAATATTTCGAACCCATCTCATGGCTTACCATAACTGCAGTGTATTCAGAAATATCACGCATATTCTCCACAGTTACAGGCTTACCACTGATTCCTGCATTATTTACCAGATGATCCACTGCAAAAAACACCAAATCTACGAATTTTAGCTATAAACAAAAGAATAGAAATGAAACATCAAACAAAAAATTACACTATAATGTGAGTATAGCTTCTTCTCCTGACGTACGTCTTCCGAAGTAGTTGAATGTTTCGTCAACAAAGCGTTTGCATTCTTGGACCTTGGATACATCAGCAGCAATGGTGGTAACATCAGGAGAACCCAGAGATCTTGCTTTATCACTCACTGCCACGAGTTTCTCCTTTCTTATGTCAACCAGGGAAAGCTTTGCTCCTCGCCTTGCGTATTCATAAGCTATTTGCTTTGGAAAATCACCAAAAGTAAAACTCAGATTTACTAGAGGAAAAATACTGCATCGAAAAACATCTCCAGGCACAAGATGCTCTAACAAGGATAGAAAAAATAGCAGACCTCGCCAATTCCTGAGGCTGCTCCGGTGATTAATACAACTTTGCTTGCCACGTTTTCTTTGCGCAGCGATTTTCTGACATGCATAAGCAGCTTGAAGATGAGCGAAGGTAGCATTAAAATGGTGAGGAGAAGTAGTGAAAGAGGAGGCAATGCAAAGTTGAAAAGCTTGCTAATTACAACCATGGCTACTGTGAAATTGAAATTCGGACGAGATCGAAACGGAATCAGAACTTACCAGAGGGAAATATCTGACATTATATACTATATTTTGATAACAGCCAAAAAACATTTATAGATGGGTAGTTGGTATTTAGTGAGAAACCTTTTATGATACAACCACATATTAAAAAATAATGAATTTTTCTTTGAAATGTATTAATTATTAAGTATTTTTGAGAGAAGATATATATAAAATATTACACATTACTTTTAACTGTAAGTTTATAAGTTCTTTTATTTGCATATAATTTATTTTACTCATTTTATTGAATATAAAAATTTCAAATCACCTCAAATTTTTGTTATAATATATTTTATTAGTCGTCATGTAGTAATGGTAAGTTCAAGGAAGAAAATGCTCAAAAATTGTTAAACTAAAAAAAAATGTTGTATATCTGAATTTACTTTTAACTAGTACAGTTTATATTATGTTTTGATGAATATGTTTTTTTTTGTGTTTTATGTATCTAACATCTAAATTTAATTCAAATAAGATCTGAATATATAATAATTGTTATTGTGATCATATGTAATGTATATCTACATATGCATAAATCATAGTTAAAAATCTTTAGTTTACTATTTAAATAATAATAACCAATGAAAACATATAAGTGTTTACTTTTCTTTATAATAATAAAAAATAATAAAATTATTATATTGTTATTATTATAATTATAAATTTAAATATAAATTCTTTTTATTATAAATAGTTTTATTTATTTTGTACATAATTTTTAAATTAAAAAATGGTTAAATTTAAAAAAATATGAAGTTAAAAAATGATTAAATTTAAAAAAAAAGCACTTAAAATATAAAAATTATATAATAATTATTTTAATTTAAAATAATTTTTATTTAAAGAATAAAATTAAAAATTAAATAGGAACACAAGGCAAATAGATTTTTAGTTGTCATTATTAATATCTCTTTTTTCCTTTGTTAAAAATATAATTTATTTTAAGGGTGACACAATTAGGCTTGTAGGGAGAGTTTGCTGGTCACTTATTAATTTAAGACCGGAGTGTCAAAGAAAATGCTTTACAATTATTTAATTCAATTAATGCATTTGTTCACCCCTAATTAATACTATACCAATATTACAACCAACCACTTTCATAATTAATCAATCAGTACCAATTTCACATCACAATTACCCCAACCTATCATTGCCTAACTTTTTTAAAAAATTTTAATCAGTTGATGAGATCCTAAGAGGGAAAGAGCAAAGGGTGAATGGGTCATTTTAGACATGGGAGATGGTTTAACTTAATATTTTGTTTTTCTTATTGTGAAGTTGGTGTTATGTATTAAAGGTGTAATTGACTATTTTGTTAATGAATTTTGTTGGTTATATATTTTTATTAACAAGACTCAAATTCAAATTTTTATTTAAATGTGAAAAAAATTTAGCTAGGTGTACATGTATTCGATGTTTAACTATCAGAGCCACGTTGTAGGGAAAATGCCGCGTCTCGTTGTTGTATTGGAACATTTCGGGTGACCCACTTTAAGGTTACAAAAGTTTAAGTTCTAAGAATTTGGGACCAAAATTAAACTATATTAGAGATGTTCCAAATATATGCTTGCAGGCTTTATGTACTTTATAAAATTACCACGTGTGAATGTTTACATGCAAGTACTGGGAAGTACATACTTTGCTTATCAATGAAGTATTTTAAGTTGGATGATTGTCCAGATCCAAATCACATGCATACAACATTATGAAATGTTTTCTAATTATAAAGAACAAAGAAGACCAATATAAATTGTTAATGGCAAAATATATTAGGAGAAGTTTTAATTTATTTTCAATGTATGTGTTTCTACTACATTACTTTGAAGATGTCTTTTGAAATTTTATTAACAGAATTTATATATAAAATAGGCATAGGTAAATTTAACAGAATTTTTTTTATATGTGATGTATATGGAATTGTCGTAAATTCCACATGAATTAATCAAGGTAATGTTGAAGAAATACATACGTGTAACCTACTTACGGAATAATCCATATACAAATTTGTGTGTAATGTATTTTTAAAATCAAAAGGTATATTTTTGTTTAATTATATATATATATATATATATATATATATATATATATATATATATATATATATATATATATATATATAGTCAATTGCAATGCAATTTAAATTAAATGAAATAAAATTTTACCAACACATAATTGACACTGAAATTTGATACCAAGACTTTACTTAATTCAAATTCAAGTTATAAACAACATAGTTTCTAAGTCAAAGTAATAACATAAAACAAATAAGGGATTACAACTCATTAATGAGAGAATATAATCAACAAAACATAATCTGAAAATGCTAACATAGTCTAGAAATGCAAAATTCTAAATGCTTATGACTAAAAATATTATAAATTAATCGTTTGAAGAAAAAGACAAAAACAAAAAAGAAAAAGAGAATGAAGAAGAAAAAGACTCATCTACGATACTTACCAACATTTTATTGAAGGTAAAAAAATTTCAATTATTATCAATAAATTTAAACTGTGATTAATTTTCAATGAATTTAAGTCATGGATAATTATCTACGAATTTCGATTTTCAGTAATTAATAACAAATTTTTAATCCACTAATAAAATTTATTGATGAATATTTTTTTAATAAATTATTTTACCATATATAATCCATCTATAAATTAAAATTATTATCAAATTTTTACAAACGAATTTTATCGGTTAATAATTAATTATTTTCTTATAATGTATACAATATGGAAGGAATCTCTTTAAATTATTATCGCGATACATATTTCACTTATTATTGTTTTCTTTATTTACCGACCTAATTAATGAATTTTACGTTATTTGTAGGTGAATTTCCAGTTAAAGTTACATTGATTCTCAGTACTATTCGTGTATAAAATATACACCAAAAGATAGAAATTCTCACGTCATAAAAAGTTGACACAATTTTTCGATATATTTTTTTTTACCTTTTTTATCATTTAATTCATTTATAAAGTAATTATTTACCTAAGAAATATGTCAATCCGGAATCATACAAATTCTGTTATTAGGGTTAAATGCTGTAACACATATACTTTATAATATTCTCAATTAAATTTGGAGGAAAATAATCTAGTTGAGAACTAAGATTTTCTTGCACCATACAACACCATATACTTAGTAACTACCACCATAATTCAGAAGGCTAAGTTCAAGCCTTCTCTGCCTATTGACTCTCGCAATAAAATCATCAGCCCTTTTGTTCAATTCATCGGAACACGAAGGAATCAAACGTTGTTCATCTCCTGCATCTATGTCGTCGTCTTCTTTGAATGTTTCAGTGCCTTTCTCAACCCTCCCTTTGCACTTTAAGTCCACACTGTCGATGTCCAAAATTTCCCCGACAACATGTTTCTCCAAAGTTTTACCTCGTTTGACCTCAACAGTTGCAACAAGAGGTTTTGGGGTTTGACTGCTCCGAATGTACTCATCATAGTAAACAACAGGGGTTGAAGAGGGATCCGAGGAAAGGATTCTTGAGTTTACCACAAGGAAAAAAATTATAAGGTTGCCCATGATGAACAGGAGCTTTGAGCTGAACAGAACTGGTACTAAACTTGAGATGTGGACGAAGAAAAAGAGGCGGAGAAGAGAAGAAAGATAGGGCATGCAGAAGGTGACAAAACAGAAGACACTGCAAGTTAAGGCACTCACAAAATATACATACAAATTGTTCAGGAACTGGTGGCTCTTGTACCTTTTCATGGCTTGAATTTTCTTCATCTGTGTAGGATCCATTAGCCTCGAGTTTTGGGTTTGGGTAGAATTTACTTCACTGAACTAAGAGCATTCGAAACTCCAAGTTATATAGACTGAGAAAGGGATTGCTTTGTAAAATCATTCACATGCTACTTTCTTTCTTCTTCTTCTTTTTTCATTATTTGATAAGAAATATTTTGGCTGCTTTTTCAAAAGGCTTATGGGACATGGCGTGCCGTTTGTTGCCCCTCTTTTCGTTTCAAATTTTAATAATTTGATCTCGGTCTGCTAATGCTTTTCCTATGCATTATTTTCATTTTGTTCATCATCACACTGCTTTTTCTTCTATTGGAAAAGCTTGTGCTGTGTAGCTAATTTTAGCTGAGCTGCTAATTCAACACGTTCCTTTCTCACATCTTATAATTAATTCAAGAATTATGGGTGTTTCATAAGTTTCAAGTTTCATATTTCTTTTACTTCTAAACTTAGATTTATACCCCTTAAAGACTAATTACAGCTCACTAATTTGTAATCACTGTTTAAATATACGACTGAGAGTTTATAGCTAACAGACAACTATTGGAAACCGATAAGTTTAAAAGAAAGCTAGCTAGTTGCTTAAACTATGCATACTGTCCCCTTTTTTCCTTTATATATTTTTTTCTTCTTCTCCTTCCTCGACTTTCTTCGTATTAAAGTCATTATCCCGTGAAGATGAACATTGGAATGCATTTAATATTTATTATAAAATATTAAGTACTAATTAATGATATTTAGTGATAACGAGGAGTCAGACGCATATAATACTTATCATTACTTAATTTGTAATATATATATATATATATATAACCTGGTATTCGTTTTGTTATTGGCTGGATATGTGTTTAAAAAATATATTTTTTAAAACTTGGAAGAATACATGTAAATATTTTAAAAAATAATTTATTAATTTCTAAAATGAAATCTAAATAAAATAATAAAAATATAAAATTTAGTATAAATTGAAATTAAATTTGAATATCAATTAAATTTAACCTAAAAAATATAAATATAATTTTAATGTTACTTAAATTTAATATAATAAAATATAAATTAAATTTTAATTTTAATTTTTTATGGATAATAATTATAAAGTATGATACTTATACCCACTCCTTTATAAGAAATATCAAATTATTTATTATTCAATATTTATAAATATTTATTTAAAATATCAATGTACTATTTATAATGACTTTTTTTCCACATATATACTCGTCAATATAAATATATTTTTTTATCTTCAAAATATATTCACGGTTGATAACATGTATTTCTTTGAGAATATACTTTCTCCCTTTATTAATAATGATCAGGCTTTCATGTAATTAAATTAGTTAACATGATGAAATCGGTAGGTATACCTTACAATATCGATAGACCTTTGCATAGAGAATGATGAGTTTTGAACATTGTAAAGAAATTCAGGAAAACTTGTAATAAGTTCTCTCTTTCTTATTAAAGAAATCAACAAATGTAGTAAATTAATTTGTCTCTGAAAAAGATATTAAATGACGCTTATATCAGATTATGCTATAAAAAAGTGTAAGTTATTTATAAAACAGTTAGATATTAAATGTGCCTCTTTGATTACGATGGTATAAGGTGAAACTTTAGATTATTGGGTTGGCCAGCATTAATTTACCATGCCATAATCTGTAAGATATTTTACAGAACATTTCCATTAAGAAAAGAATATGATTTTGACTGCTATAATTTGGCAGCAGAATCTCCTCTACAAAAGTCTTCATATATCTTTCCCTTTTCTTTTTCATTTTCCTTTCTGTGCTCTTACTGTTATACATTTCGGTTAAAGAAACCCTTTAGCCTTTTTCTTTTACATTTCTTCTAGCAGAAGCCTCGTTATTCACTAAAATGGATCGATTCAGAGAATTAGATTTCACTTTTAACAATCAAACAAAAGAAAAAATACATTTCATCATGTTTAGAAAGTTTAGTAGTTGAATTAGTTTGATGATATTAAGAAAATACACTTTAAATTTAACTTATTTTTATAACCAATTTAATAAAAGTCTGCACTTATTATACATTATGTTTTGGTTATGTTTTTAACCAATATATGATTTTCTAAAAAGTTATAAGAATTCAATGAGAATAGGATCGATTGTTTAAAGAACATAATTATGTTTTGCAGTGTCAAAAATGATTATGATAATAACTGCTTGTGAATTTTCAAGAAAATAAAGTTTCAAATATATATATATATATATATATTCTGAAATTTATGTTCAATATATGATGAGTGTAAAAATGATCAGCAAAAATAAAAACCAAGAACAGAAAAATATACATTCTGTAATTTAGTTAAATGGTACAACGGTTGCATGCTTACCGTTAAGTGATAAAGTAAACTAAATTGTCCGGTTTTCTAAAAGTGTGTCACTGTAAATGTAATGATATTTGGAAGAATTTAGGTTACTTTATGGAAATAAAATATGTTTTTTTTTAATTTAATTCCTTAAAATAAAATTGAAAAAATTTCTTGTAGTTTTTCAATTTATACGTTTTCTTTGTAGAAGTTTAAATTTTATTTTAAAAAGCATTTTATTAATTATCATATGTAAGTAATTTCTTGTTTTTTTTGAATATGTTGGACTCTGAGCATGCATGAAGGCTTATTATAGAATGATATATAGAATGACGTGGGAAATGAATGAATAAATAATAAAAGGAGAAAGAGGAAGAAAACAATATATTATGAACAAGTGTTGGAGTATTTGCTTGATGGCTTAGTCATCTTGTTAGCTTTATTAGTCAGAGAGCATTCTTTTATGGTGATCTGCAAAAGTTCATAAAAAACATTTTAGTGGGACCCTTCCATTCAAGAAAGGAAAACCATGGATATCATTACCACGTAAGAAAACATCATCCTAATGTAATATATTATATATTTTGATTCACTTAAATTGGAATATAAAATCAAATTTTGTTATTCAACTTTTAAAATATGCTGATTAACAAATTTCACTATTCACTTGTTTGGACTTCAATATCAATTACTTTTAATTTTTTTTATGTTGATTTTACATAAGTTCGTACAAATATTGATTAAATAATAACCTATTAAAAGGTAAATACTATATTTTATTGTAAAAGAAATATGATCGTCATAATTCGATAAAGGATAATATTTTCATAAGATGAATCAAATCTCGTTTGATAGTCTTAAAATCGTGTAGATTCATTCATTATAAAGTGTTTTTCTAAAAGTAAGTCACATATTTGATTTTTACAATAAAATCATTAAGTAATAACTAAGTTCAGATAAAAAAAATTTAATCATCATAACAGCTATTTTTATATCAATTTATAAATTTAATACACAACAAATTTATATATCAATTTATAAATTTAATATTATTAGTATTTAAACTAGTTTTTATTATTAATAAAATATCATAATTAATTTATAAATTATATTCTTATTGACTCTTAAGATTATAAGAAATACATTTTTTTTATATAAATAGAATTAATATATAAATTGGTATTTAATTATAATTAATGAAACACTAATTATATGTAACATCCCAATTTAGTAATATGAAACTACTAAAATGAACATTACATAGATAATGATACAACAAACTATAGATTTGCGAAGAATAAAATTCTTCACCTGAAGGACCAAAAGCACAACCTACACTTCAAACTTCTCATCTAACTTCCCGTTTAACCAACTGAAAAAATTGCATCCCTAAGCTCACACCATTAAGGTGATTATCGGAAAAGAGAAAACAAAACACAGACAGACAAACACAGAAGCAAGGGTGAGCTATATATACAAAGATCATACTATTACAATAACACACAACATTCATGTTTAATTCAAGTAAACTGAATCACACATCATAACATGTTATACTTTAAATTTAACTCGTCCAGACTTATAATGATAGTCGAGCTATGGTGGGTCGTGCACTCGTGGTGGCCTCTACTGCTTTGCAAAGCCATTGTCAATGGGTTTCACCTTACCACACTCACGAGGTTAGCATGTTCCGGGCCTCAAGGCATACTGGAAGCCCCCAACACTAAGACCTCCTGCTACTCCTCACGACATGGTTCAATCCTCTCTATTTGAGAATGATTGGCCATTGGAGTTTCTGGATGACCCCCAAGACTGAGCTCCTACTCTCATTCTAAACAACTAAGAATCTCACCAAGAGATTCTAAACTTTGAAACTTATACTTGCAACCTTGAGATCATACCACTTTCCTTTTCAACTCATATACTTTTAATTAGAATCAACATGCATGTTTAAGCTCCATAAGATAAGGCCATAGATATTAAAGCATGCTTCACAAACAGTGTAACAAACCACTTAATCAATCATAAAACCAAAGGAAATTAAACAACTAAACTCAGGACTTCTCGCACAGCGCACAATACTCGCATGGCGAAACCAGAGTGGCTCGCATAGCGCACCACACTCGCCTTGCGAATTACTTCGCATTGGTGATAGACATTAGGTTTCTCGCATAGCGCTACCAAGTCGCACAACGAGAGTCTAGACAGAGACCAACCCCCCAAACCTTCTCGCCTTGCGCCCCATTCGCTTTTCTAATTAAAATGGCAGTGGCTTCAGGTCACCACCAATCGCATAGCGACAGGATTCGCTAGGCGAATCCACCAGGCAGAGAGCAACACTCTCTGGTCATTCGCGAAGCGCATCAGCTCGCACAGCGAATGACCTTGGCAGAGAGCACCCCTTGCAGGGACTCGCAATGCAGAACCATTCGCATTGCGAGTCTGCATAATCTGCAGAACGCCAGTTCTGCAGAATTATACACACTCACACCCTCTTACCATTTCCAATAATCTTCCCCAACTTCTAAGACCTCTAATGGGTGATATAAACCTAATTAAACTTATCTAATTCATTTTACTCATTCCTACGGTGATTATTAAGTGATTAAGACCCAAATTCCTTCTTAAAACACTAATTTCCTCAACTTAGGGGCTCAAATCCAATTCTACCATTTTTAACCTGTTCTAAACCAGTTTTATGTTCCTAGCAAGCCACGTTGGACCTATCTAAATTGTCCTAACCCTAAAAAAACACTCTGTACCTCATATGCTCAAAATCACTATCCCACATTCTCTCAAATGATCTAAAATACTTCCTAATTCCCAAACTATCTATCTAATTAAAACTACAACAAAAATCTTACCCCCAAACACTTCCTACATGTTCAATTTACAGTAACTAAGTTCATCCAATTCAATTCATAAGCAAGCCATTACAGTTTCATCAACTGCACGTTTCAGTCCATAACATCCAATATGCTTAAAACCAAAAAGTAGTCCAAAACAACACACCAGTTTAGCATTCAACATGCATACATATTTATAAAACAAATTCAAACAAACAACTAGCTCCCCTTACCTCAGAGTTGAACTGCCCAACTCACAAGAACGCTTCTCTATAGTACCTCACACAACAAGGACCCAACCAAACCCTACAAACCACCACATTGGTGGTAGAAAACAGTTCTTAGAGCTAGAATTTGGCAGAGATTTAAAGAAAAGAGTTTCTAGTTACATGCAACCAGTAAAGTCGCATGCCCTATGTCCCAAGGCAACGGAGGAGAAAGGAATAACTACTTACCAGTGAGAAGGAAGAAAGTGACCAGTTCAAAACGGAGCCCTCTACGCTGGGAACGCTCGAACACCACTTGATCAACAATCCGATGGCTCAATGAGAAGAGATTGAAGAGAGAAGACAGAGGCAAAAGAAGAAGAAAGGTATGAAGAGTGAGGTTTGGTTGCTGAGAAAATAGGAAGGAACTTTGAATTTCACGTTTTTATACATAAGTTATTTTATTAATAATGTTCCATCATATCGTCTGATGCCACATGTCCACTCCCCAAAACTGACTTCTTTTCTCAATCTTTACAAATTAGTTTTTGTTTAGGCAAAACTTTTATAATTTAAATTAAAGACCAATTTAAAGTTTAATTTATAAGAAAAAATAATACTGATATTTGATTGATAGTATCATGATTCTTTTCAATTTAATAATGAAATTTCAAAAAGAATATTTTTTTATTTACCCAAAAATATTTGTCATATTTAACTATACTTAAAAAGTAAGGAGATGAACTTTTTGAGTTATATATATATATATATATATATATATATATATATATATATATATATATATATATATATATATATATATATATATATATATATATATATATATATATATATATATATATATATATATATATATATATATATATATATATATATATATATATATATATATATATATATATATATATATATATATATATATATATATATATATATATATATATATATATATATATATATATATATATATATATATATATATATATATATATATATATATATATATATATATATATATATATATATATATATATATATATATATATATATATATATATATATATATATATATATATATATATATATATATATATATATATATATATATATATATATATATATATATATATATATATATATATATATATATATATATATATATATATATATATATATATATATATATATATATATATATATATATATATATATATATATATATATATATATATATATATATATATATATATATATATATATATATATATATATATATATATATATATATATATATATATATATATATATATATATATATATATATATATATATATATATATATATATATATATATATATATATATATATATATATATATATATATATATATATATATATATATATATATATATATATATATATATATATATATATATATATATATATATATATATATATATATATATATATATATATATATATATATATATATATATATATATATATATATATATATATATATATATATATATATATATATATATATATATATATATATATATATATATATATATATATATATATATATATATATATATATATATATATATATATATATATATATATATATATATATATATATATATATATATATATATACTTCTTAATACAATGCTTACCTAATATTTTTAATATTACTTTTACAAAATTATATATATTCCATATATTTATAACATGTAATAAAAGAAATTATTCTATTTTTATGTACATAATTCTTTTCAACGTTTCGTTTCAAAATAACTATTTTTTAAAATTTTATAGTAATTTTCTACATATGATCTTTTTTTTCAACTTTATTCTTTTAAGAAATTTATATTTAAAACTCAAATAATTGTTAATACTAAAAAACTATTTACATAATAAAATAATTATCTATAATAAAATTATAAAAAATATTTTATATTCCATGATATTTTTTATTTCAATAATTATTATAGTAATAATTTGTTTTTACTATTGTAAAACAATTTTAGTAATACATTTGAGATTTTACTAATTTTTAATTTTTAATAATTATTCATAAAAATGATATATTTTAATATAATAAAAATATAAATGCATATGTGAATACATATATTTTAATAAAAAAAGTTTGTTAATGAATAAAAAAACACAAAATATAAAAGAAGGTAAATAATATGTTCATCAAACAATAGTTACATTATTTTTTTTATATTACCAAGTCTTATAGAAAAAACACTATTTATTTTGATAGGTACTTTTTTTTATATAATAAATACTAAAAAGTTACTTAATAAATATAAAAGTAAGAAAACAAAGATAAAAATGTATGCCAACCTATAATTCCAAATTAAATTTTTTACTATTATTATAAATATAGATATTAAATTCTGATCACTAATTGTCAAATTTTTCAAAGTCCCAAGACCAACCTGACCTTTTCTATACTGAAACTCATTTTGTTTGACCCACACATCTGAAGGGGCTTTTCCAAAGCCCCTAGCCCCCAAAACCCTAGAAAATAGGTTGGGATTAAATTAGGCCCGGGTTACCCTCTTAGCCCCCAAAACCCCATTTTTCTCTGTTGATCCTGGACATCCATTTTCTTCTAGAAGAGCTCGACAACAATGGCAACACACAGTGGATTCTACGGCAGACGGCAGCGCTTGCTGGTACAGGCGGCGACAACACACAGTGGAGGCAACGGCAGCATTTGACGGCAACGCAGGTGGTATAGGCGGCGGCGATAGCAACTATCGAGTGGAGTGAAAAATTGTGGAATTTCTGTTTCTTGATGATATCGTGGTGCCCTTTTCAGTCAAAGTGGAAGCATTATCTAATATAGGCATCAATGGAATGAAAAATATGGTAACATGTCTTCAAGGGATGAGAAAAGCGGTATTTGCCAATCCATCAAAGGTTTGTGTGGCCTATCTAACTCCAATACTCTACCTTCATCTTTGATAGAAGGTTATTTCACTTTTAGAATGCCCTCAGGTTTATTGTCATTGGGTATTTAAACATTTTTACTTACCTTTTATCCTTGTAATATTGTGGGTTTACTTTCTTGGATGTGATGTAAATTTTATGACATTTTTTCAACCAGGTCCATACAAATTCAAGGTCTTCTGAAGTTGCTATTGAGCTTCTATTATGTGCATCTCAATACATAGGTACCAAAATCAACCTTCATTCTCACACTAACCACAATTTGCAACTCATTCTTACACTAACCACAATTTGTATTACTGGTGTAGATTATTGTTCATTTACTTCTGCTGGGTGCCCAAATATAGCTTCTGATACTAATACTACTTTATTTGTTAAAAGGTTACTGGTTTAGTTGGATTTCTCTTGGAAATATTTTTATATAAAAGCAACGGAAGGAGGCAATGTGTTTTTTTTTCTGGGTGTTTCCTTTAACAAGTCATATGAATCAAATTATAAAACATTAAACACAGTAGAATGTCAATTTTGATCAAGTATTTTAATTTGATGGTCCTTATCAGAGGAAAAAAAAATAAAGGAGCATAAATGTCATCTCTACAATCAGATTGATAGGATATTCCTATCAAGTATTGTCCTAAACGGGCCAGCTGTTCTTTTGGGTGTCATATGGCAGAGTCAGTGTATTTAAATATTATGTGATAGTTTGTGTTTTGCATGTTTTGTCTTGTTTTGTTGAACATACATATTCTTTTTGTTGGCTAACTGATAATGGTGATGCAGGACATGGAAGGAAAACCATCATATGTTTCTTAAGCATTATTTAACCAAAACTAGAGAGTAGTTAGAGATTTAGTTTAATCAAATACCATAATTAGTATAATTACTGGATTTGGCTTCATTTGTAATGAAGTTATCATACTTATTCGTGTTTGATGCAGTTTTAGAGTTATTTTAATCAATCCATGTTCCTCATCGTAAAATTTTTCAAAAATTGGGAATAACTTATTGAGATTTCTTGCTTAAGTGTATTTTTACTTTATAATAATGTATATAATTTATTTATGGGTTACATTTGCAGATTGTCTTTCCATAAAGTGCTTCCTTTAGACAAAAGTTCTTCTGCTCCTATTTCTCTTCCTTTCATCTTGCATAGCCATACTTTCTGGAGCAATCTACAAAAGGCTATTAATTTCATACTGTATGAAGTTTGTAAGTTTCTTACCCCTTTGTTACATCTTCCAGGGTGTGTCGGGGCAAGTGGAAGTACCTATTATGTATACTCCTTTCGAAAATGTTCTCTTCATTGTTTAAATTTGTTTTTTCCTGGGTTTTGCAGACATGTTTGAGCAAAGGCAGGGGCTTTCACTTCCCCCCATGTCACATACTCAATTTTTGTGGAATTAGGATATTATTAGATTGCCCACTAGACCTTTCAGCTCTCCTGGCCTTCTCCCCTATACCTACTTTGGATTGCTTGTCAATTGTAGAAAGCTACAACACTGAGGCTAATGATTTTGATTCAAGGGCTGCGTTTGGGAAAAGACAGAAAATTGAAAAGCTCCTTCATGCTAAAAACTTACTTTTTGCTGAACCTTGGTACAAGACTGTTAATAATTTGCAGCTGTGGAATTCCTCTTTCATTGATGTTGTATTAATATCCAGTCCAATGGGTATTATGGGGTTGCCCTTTCTTACTCGAATGAAGGGTTTCTCAGCTAAGGTAGTCTTTTTGATGTTATTATTGGACTGTGTTTTCATTTTTGTTGATTTCTGTCACCAAAATAGTTAGTTTAATATTTGTTCAATTGGTTAGATATACGTAACTGAAGCATCGGCAAGATTAGGCCAGCTAATGATGGAGGATCTTATATCAATGCATGGGGAATTCAGGCATTTCTATGGACCAGAAGAATCAAATTTCCCATCGTGGCTGAGGCAGGAAGAGCTTGAAATCCTTCCCTCTGAATTGAGAGAGATAATATTGGGGAAAGATGGACTGGAGTTGGGTGGTTGGATGCCCTTGTACAGGTGATCTACCGTTTTACCTCAAAACTTGTATGGTATTTAAAGTTTTATCTAAAAACAGAACGAAATGTGCTTGACTTGTAATTGCAATGGTTCTATGATACTATCCTGTGATGGATTAATTATAATTTTTCATGTAAAATCGCTCTTGACTTGTTGCTTCCTTGCTTGATATTTATGTCTTGCCTTTTGTATGTTTGAGTGTATGGCAAATAAGGGGAGGGAAATTTTGAACTTTTGTTTCTAGGATTCTCAGTTATTTGTGTTTTTTAATTTTTTTTATTTGCTCATTTATATAGTCTTTGTTAGCGTGGTTAAGCTGTTGCTTTTTACATTGTTATGTAAACCTTGTTGCTGTATCCATTTCTTCTTCAAAGTCAATTACAGCAATTCATTTGTTTGAAGATTTAATTTGTGGAATTTCTCAGTGCAGCTGATGTGAAGGATTGTATGCTAAAGACTCACACTCTTAATTATGCTGAGGAAGCTTGCTACAATGGTACATTGGTTATAAAGGCATTCAGCTCTGGTGTAGAAATAGGCAGTTGTAATTGGATCCTAAATAGTCCAAAGGGAAATACTGCATATGTTTCAGGATCCAGCTTCATTTCTGCACATGCAATGGCTTTTGATTACCGCAGTTTACAGGGGGCATGCGCATTAATTTATTCAGACTTCTCCTTGGGTGATACTCAAGATAGTGCAGATGGGGATAATTGTTCTGTCTCAGCTGCTAAGTTACAATCTATAAGGTATGGTATATTGAAATTTTATTCCCCGTCAAACTCTATGTTTCACCCAGACACCAGTTATTGTTTTTCAAGTGTTTATCCTCTGGCTGTAGTAATGAATATTTATGTATATATTGACTTCCATGTGGTTTATTATTCAAGTTCTCAAGATTTGGCTGGATTCAACCATAACTCTGATGAGAACGCAGAGGAAAAGGAAAAGCTGGATTTCATATGCTCAAATACTATAAATTGTATAAAAGAAGGTGGTTCTGTTCTTATTCCCATTGATCGACTTGGAACTATTTTGCTTCTCTTGGAGGAAATGACAGCATCACTCGAAGCTTCAGATTTGAAGGTGTCCTTTCTTCTTTTTAGGACCACATTAGTTAGCCTTGTTCTACAGAACCAAATGCCCATATCCTTTTTAGTTGCTTGTTCATACTAACTAGTAAAAAACCTATCTTTATCAACTTATGTGGCATTAGCCTTAAGTTCTGTTATTTTTCTTATTCCCATTTGTATTTTTGTTTGCCAAGAGACTTGACCTTACCAAATGATTCTGCTTACAAGTGTTCATTATTAAAATTTTACTGCCTTTTATTTTTTGTTTTTGTGCTGCAATGGAAATTGGGAAAAACTGGGAATGCAAAGTTCCATCTTTTATTTGGAAAATGGAGTTCTGGATTAATATCGGATATCACTCACTAATTTCTATTATTAAGTAATCACAATTTTTCTATTTGTAGGTTCCAGTTTATATAATTTCTTCAATGGCTGAAGAATTACTGGCATTGCTTAACATCATACCTGAGTGGCTTTGCAAACAACGGCAAGAGAAAGTATGGACCATTAGAAACATTAATTTGGTCCATTTCACTTGCATACTTTTATTTGTAGAGTTTGACTTCCATTTTACATACTTTAATTGCTGCTGCAGTTATTTGCTGGGGAACAGTTGTTTGCACACGTCAAGCTCTTAAAAGAGAAAAAGATTCATGTGGTTCCTGCTATTCATTCACATGAACTCTTGTGAGTTCTTTTTTACCATGTTTTTCCTTTAGGTTTGCTTATAAAAATCTAATTGAAATTGAAGTGATTAATCAAATTTCGCATGATTCCTGCACTTTTTATCTGCTAAATTTTGCAATGTTAACTATTTCAGTAACAATTTTGTTTCACAACTGTTGAGTTTCTGTTAATAGCCTCAAGATATGAGAAGAACTTATTTTAACAAACTGCAGTAGTGAAATGGTTTCATAAATTTTTTCTTATCGTTAGTTTCTATCAAAAACTGATGTATTTCTTGTAGAATTAATTGGCAGGAACCTTGTATTGTATTTTGTCCTCACTGGAGTATGCGAATGGGTCCTGTTGTTCATCTGCTTCGACGATGGTGTGGCAGTCCAAAATCTTTACTTATTCTTGAGGTAAGATATATTTCCTCTATTACAACTATAATATGCTTTGTTAGAAACACCATGTTATACTATACTATACTTTAGTGTTATTATTATTGTGAGATATATTAGATTATTAGATATCTTATCTTTGTCTTTTATTTTAGTTACTTTGTTATTATTCTTTATTTGTATTTTGGACTTAACTCATATTTCTTTTATTATAAAGTATCTTATGTGTATTTTCTATACAAGGGAGATCAATCCCAAACTTATTTTTCGTTATGTTCAACAATTACGTTCCCTTATCCCATCCTCACAAGGTGATGGATGTAGCTCAAAACTTTTTGGATAATGTTTTTAAATTACACGGATTACCTACCACATTACCAGTGACATCATTATTCTTGGGGTAGAAATGAATCTTCATATCTGCATTATTTTAAGTTCTGTCCTTTTAATGTCGTTTGAATGTCTTTGGCCAATGTTGCATTGAATTTCCTATCAGCAGGATATTCTGAATCTTGAGCTAGCACTTCTACCTTTCCAACCCGTCACAATGAAGGTTCTTCAATGTTTGTTTCCCTCTGGAATTGGGTAGGTATACCTTTCCATCTGTCACGTCTTCCAATATATTATGTACATTCATGTATATGTGTAATTGTTCTTACTGATAATTCTCAAAATCTCTATAAACATCGAGCCAGTAGCAGTCTATATATAGTCTTTAATTATACCACCCAATAAACCTAGGGGGAAGAACGACCTATCAAAAATGAGAAATACTGCCTTGATAAACTGTTCGATTACTGGTGCTTGTAGAATTAACATCTATATGGATGGTTCCATACGTTTTTCGGTTTGGGAATGTGATTACATTGCGTATACCCTTTCTTTTCTTCCCCATTTCAAAGGACCTGAACCCAAAACTTGGCGTATTATTTTGATAACATTAATTTCTTTCTAATTTTTGTCATTAAAAGTGTAACATAAATATAATGTAAAACTATCCATATTTCTTCATCTAATTGAGAGTGGATAGGTTCTCTGATAGACTGATACCACATTAGAAATGGTCTTGGACTAACTAAGCCCCGAAAGGTAGTTCCAGGGTGGGAGGATTGTTGAAGATTTAATATAAACTATTCATGTATCTTCGTCTAAGAACATAGATTTTAGTAAAGGCACGTGAATTGTTTATTTTAATTATATCTTTATGAAAGACGTGTAATCTGTGCCAACTACAATTGGACTTAGCTATTTAGTATTCTCTCATTTGATTTCTACTCTGTAGGTTGCGGACAGTTCAACCTTTACTAAAGTTATTGCGGCCGAAGACGGTCCTGGTAATTATTATTATACACTATGTTATATTATACGATTACACATTTGCATGCGATAAAATTATTATCTGTTTTGGTTTTTATTCCTTTTTTAATCTCTAGTGTCCTGAGGAGTTGAGACTGCAGATCAACCTTTCCAGTGAAAATTCTTTCTCCGTTTTGTATTATACTGAAGCTGAAACTTTGAAAGTACCGTATCGAAAGCACAACTCAGAGATAAAAATTGCAACTGATTTGGCTTCCCAGTTTTATTGGAAAACATTCAAAAAAGAAGAAATCAGTATAACAAAATTGAAGGGAGAGCTACGAATGGAAAATGCCAGACATCATTTGCTATTGGAAACTGATAACAAAAATTCTTCGAGTAATAGTAGGTCTTCGGAGCATTGTGGTTTACCTGATTCAGAAAAACTTATGGCTGCATTATCAAAGATGGGCATCAGTGGAAATATCCAACATGGTATGAGTGATACCAAATCACAAACTGTAAGTATAATTCACATAGAGGACCCTTACAAAGCCTCGATAGAGATTGGAACCACTGGTACTATTATTACTACTGCTCAGGAAAACGTGGCTTCCTCCATTTATAAAATTATCGACAACATTTTGAATTCGGTTTAATTGTTGTAAGATGTTGATTTTAGAATAGTGGGTGTTTGGGAAATGACTAACTGATTTGAAATGGAAAGGTTTTTAATTATGAAGTATTAGTTATTATAAATCTAAATTAAATTATTTGCACCTTCAAAGCTTTTCATGTTAGGGTCAAGCAGAGGAACATTCTGCCCTTTTCTAATAGTTTCATCCCTCATCTACTGAGTATATTACCCTCTCTTATCTCTCCAAATGTCCCACGTCTTTACACCTTATCGTTGAAATTGTGAAACTCTCCGTTGAAGCTTTTCTGATGAAGGGGTATGTTAATGGGTCATTTAACGAAATGTATACTTATGAAAAATATGGATTGAAGTGAAAAATAATGTCAATTCTCTTCTCTCCTTAAAGCATTTAAATGATTTTCACATTTGATAAATCTAGAAAGATTTTATTCTTGCATTAGAGATACTTAATATAAGGTCATTGTTTGACCCACTTATACGAAAACATATATTTAAAATCAACAAGTCGTTATGATCCATTCATCCACTAACCTCATTGTTAAGCAGTCATTATGATTATCAAACGTCTTTACAAAAATTGATCTTGCCTTTCATCACAATTCAATATGCCACATTCCTTCTTCATCATGAGTCACTACTAGTGTTGACTCCATGTTGGTAATTTGGAATTAATTTGACAAATTTGTCATTGATATTGTCTTTAATTAATCGAACGTTATTTTTGAAATGATGTGTTCAAAATCCATTACGTAGATAGTTAAAGTGTTATAGGATATGAAAATAAGATAACATTACAAAATTATAAACTTCATTAAAACTAGTCTCATAACCAAAATAAATAAAAGATTAAAAAAACATCTGTTTCGCAGAAATTTAATTGATTGACAATACATAATAACATTTTAATTTAATAATAACATCAATTGTATAACGCTCAAATAGACATGATACGATAGAAGGATATTAAAATAATGAATATAGAAGTTCTTCCTATTCTTAAGACTTATTAACCATGGTGTTAAGGAAGATTTCATATTTCAAGCACTTTTTTATTTCTCTAACCCAGTAATGTTGAATATTTGAAAAAGTATGTATATTATGAGGACGGATATATGTATTATTGTATGCGATTCACATATATTAATTATCCGATAATAATTATAAGTGATTTTATTTATATTTTTAAAATTTAAAATTTAAGTGATGAAAATAAAATTATTAATGAAAAAAATAATTTAAAATTTAATTTATATATTTTTTATAAACTATAGGATTGAATTTATGTTTTAAGATATGAATTTTTAAAAAATTTATATTTGGACATGATAATTTGAATTTTATTTTTAGAAAAATCAAATTTATTTACCTTAATAATTTTATTTAAAATTATATATTTTTTGTTTAAATTTATATTTGAAAAGATTGTATTTAAATTTTTTGAAAAATAGAATAAAAAAATATTCGTTGTTATCTTGTCAGGACCCTTAAAATTCCATGTAGTGGAAGACAAGTGTAGGTGCAAGGTTTCTGAAATTCAGAAAGTGGAAGACAGGTGTGAGCTACAGAGTGGACGATCGGTTTAGTGGCGGTAGTATTTAAAGCAAAATTTCAAACTTCATGCCACTTTTTTGCATGCACCTTTCATCTTCAACGTCCTTTTGAGTTCTTCATTTTCTCCTCCTTCTCTCTACAATCTTCTTTTTCTCTCTAAGAATTCTCATCCTTTTCTTCTTCTGATTAACAATCAGACCACGTCTGAGTCTTCCTGGTGACAAGGGCTTCACTTTGTACCAATCAAGTTGTGGTTTTAAGCTAGTGAGTTCCTTCTCTTCTTAGAAAGTTCGTTTTCTGACACATGCAAGTCAAGTTCTGGTTGCATGAGTTTATCATCTCATTTTGAGCACATTTTTGGTCTTTTGTTTGGTTTAGTTTCATAAATCGTGACCGTAGGATTCTAAGATTTATGGTGGTGAGTTATTCTATACAAACTGTAAGCGTTTGGTTAAGTTTAAGAGGTAAGAGAAGCTTATTTAATTTAATTAAGATTCTTTGTTTTGAATGTTGGCTTGGGTGTTTGATGTTGTGTATATGTATTTGGTTGAGATGAACTATAAATGCGGTTGTATGCTTGTCTGTATGGTGAATGATTGATAAAGGGTGTGAATTGGGTTGATATAGGGTTTGATCTTCAAACTGCAGCATTCAGCGTAATTTCTGTGTTTGAAACCGATAGTCATTATTGACCGTTTGGTTTTTCATTTGGGTATTCAGTCTGAACTGGATTCTTCTTCTGTAGAGAATTTCAGTTAATGACCGATCGGTTTTTCTCTTATTATACTGGTAAATAAGCGTTAGGTTTAAGTATAGCTTTCTCTTAGTAATTAGCTTAGTTAAGGTATTCTATAATATTTAAATTCGTAGATATTATAATTATCATTTATTGAAAATAAGTGTTATGTAATTGTATTAGATATATATACTTCTTCACTTTGTTATAAGCTCAATAGTGCTCAGTTTTGAACCAAGCGCTCGATCTCAGTAGTGCTTGGTCTTGAAGCAAGCGCTTGGTCTCAGTAGTGCTCGGTTTTGAACTAAGCGCTCGGTCTTATAATATGTTCCGTAATATATCTGCATTAGGTATTAAGAGTGTTCGGCCAAGCTCCATAGTGTTCAGCCTTAGTGTGTAGTGTTCGGTTTAAACTCTTAGGTCTTTGATAAAAGCTTTCATCATTTTCGGTTAGGTTTAATTATATGTATAACATAGTATTTCATACATTCTTTGAGTTCTATCTCTTAAAGACCTTTCGGTCATACTTGTTGAGTAGCTAGAAAACGTTCTATATTATCATAAGTGTTAGGCTTCTGATGAGTCTATTCTATATGGACCGTTCGGTCCTGTTATGTGAATAAGTGAAAGACCGCTCGGTCTTACACTAAGTGTTCAGTTAGATTAGTCTAAAAGGTATTCTCTTGTTTGGTCTTGCTTATAAGATGGAAGTTATTTCTTTCATTGTTGTTTTAAGATGGGATATTGTTTTCAGTGTTCAGTCTGATTGTATTGATGATGAAATATGATGATATTTAAAATGTGATATGAATTGAATAGTATGGATATGAAAGAGAATTCCAGGGAGGAATATCTTATGATTTGTTATGGAATGGTAAAGTATGAATGTGGTCATGCTAAGGTGATGTTTATCCTGATATTCTATGATTACTCATTCTCAAGTAGAGAGTAGTGAATCATGTGTGAGAATGGCAGGAGGTCCTAGTTCATAAGGTTAAGATGGGCGAAGTATAACGGACTAACCCTGGGTGGCAGTTGTTGAGGGCATCCCAGTTACTACATCACCCGGGTGCAAAAACGTCCTAGCTACACAAAATTCATACAGTTCAGACAGTCAGAGTAAAGTGGTCGTTCGTTGCATGCATTAATGTATGGTTATGGTTGGAAATGCATGATTCGTTGTTGCATGATTGACTATTGAATTATATTAGATTTATATGAAATATATGTTTTACTGAATTAATTAAATTACATAAGCTTACCTTATTTCCTGTCTTGTCTGTATTGTCCGTTCGACCGTCATTTCCTGTTGCAATGATCATCTTGTGGATGTGAGTAGAAGGGGAAGAGTGTCTATTGGAAGAGTGTCTACTGGAAGAGGCTATGGAAGAAGTGGAAGTGAAAGCTGAACCATAGAACAGTTCGGTCGTTAGAATTGGTTATATTTTGATCGGTGTAAGCTTAGTCTTGTAATCGTTCGTTCTGGACTTTTGTTTTGTAAAGTTAAAATTTTGAAGTATTGTTGTAAGGCCGTTCGACAAAAAACATACTTCTTCTCTTTCATAACTGAACTGTAATATTGTTAATTGTGAATATTCTATGGTATGATTTTATAATGTATTATTAGGATATTACATATCTTCATATAAAAAAAATAATAAGTATTTCATAAAGCATATACATTTTCATTATTTAACATACATTATAATATAAAATTAAGATAGTTATAAAATAATAAATTTTTATATTTTTAAAAACAAATAAAATAAAAAATAAAAATAATAATGTTAAATAAATGTAAAAAAATTATACGTACGAACGATCATTTCTATTGCATAAATATCCAACAGACAACAATAAGTTTAAACAAAATGAGTAATAATAATTCCTACCGTACCAAACTCAAGCCCTTTTGATTATTATTAAATATTTCTTATTACCGACATATATCTACGAAAAGCAAGTAGGCATTAATTGGCGCCAAATGTTCTTTCGTTCTCACAAATTCTCTTTGAAGTCGCAGCCCTAATCAATAACTCTCGCAATCTCAGGGATTTCGTTTCGGAGACTTTCACTTCGCAGGAGCACAACGAATGTCAGAATCTCGGGCCCCTAAGCGCCCCAAAATAACTAGGTTTGCAAACGCTGTTGCTTGTCTTTGTGTTATTGATTTGCTTTCTCGCATTTTCAGTTGTTGTAAGTTTTGTTCTTCTCTCGTGATTTATGTTTTGTTGTTGTTGGAATTATAAAGATACACAGCAAGAACTTAATCGCCACTGTGAACTTTTGATTTGCGTACTTCATTATATACTTACTCTATGGCATTGAGTAAACTAAAATCAGTTTTTTACTTTCAACTTTTGAAATAATGCGTATTCCCTCCCTCACCCTTTTGAAATAGATGAAAGGGATGTGATTATAGAGCTGATGATTGAAACGTTGTTTCAGGGGGGACGATGATTATATGCCGGGAAATATTCTTGAGATCGAGCTTTGTAATTTCATGACGTTTGACTATTTAAAATGCAAACCTGGGCCTCGACTGAATCTTGTAATTGGACCCAATGGCTCTGGTAAGAGTTCGCTTGTATGTGCTATTGCTCTTGGCCTGTGTGGAGAGCCCCAGGTTGGTTTGAGTTTTTCTGCTCTTGGCCAGATTCTTAGATTGTTATTTTTCAATTGCAATGTGTCATGATTTGTTTATTACAGTTGCTTGGGCGTGCTACAAGTATTGGGGCATATGTGAAGCGTGGAGAAGAATCTGGCTACATTAAGATCACCTTGAGAGCGGACCATA